GGATTATTTCTCGAGTATTGGATATTCTTCATCTGTGCCTATGAACCCTTCAGATTTTCTGCTGGATCTCGCCAATGGTATGTCATTTCTCATGTTTTTTTTTTTTCATTTCCTTGATATATAATATGGTATTAATAGAATAACAATTTCCATTCGGTTTGAATCCATATAAATGAATTAAATTTATCCGATACATTAACTTAAATTTTTGGGTTGAGTGGTAGTTTATTCATTCTTAACATGGTATCAGAGCGGGGTGTTATATTCTATTTCTATTCAACCTCTCTATTTTAAAAATATTCTATATAATGAATTACTATGTTTTCAACTATTTTTATTTTCTATTATGGCCATATAAGTTATCGACCATTGTTTTAGCCTTAAAACCTACATATGTGCGTTGAGTTCGGCCAGTTTTGATTGATCGACTCGATTTTTTTTAGCCCATTACTTAATCTTGTTTTGTTTGTTCTACAATCAACTATAGAGGGTAGAGGGAGTAAAAGAAAAAGAAGGGATTTTTTTTCTAAGAAAACAAATAGTTGTAATGGTTGGAAAGTATTACTCCTATATATAAATATATATATTTTGAGTACAGTATTACTCCTGTATATTCTCATAAAAAATAATTATTTTGAAAAAGTAGAAAGTTGGTTACCAAAATTCTCTACATAGTTAAAAGGTATTATTTCATAACCATTTTGTTTTAGAAAACTATGTTTTTTTAGCCATATTTGTAAATATATTTGAATTCTGTACCAAATTTATAAAAGAAAAAAAAAGTTTTAAAAACTACCTTTTGGCATAGATTTTGAAAAATGTTTATAAAAATTATATATAAAAACAAAGGAAAATAACAAAAAACGAAATATTTATCAAGTTAAAGGAATCGAACTTTTTGTTCTGTGCTAATAACAATTTAGATCGCAATTTCTTATGATGAGTTATGCAATTAATGATAGTTTAATAAAAGAACCTAGAAATTACTAGACCCTACACCAATACTTACCCGCAACTCTGATGGTTTCAATAATTATTTCCTTTCTAGAATTACATTTCTTACAAGCAATCTAGCTAAGAAAATAAATTTTTGTATCAAAGGGATATATTTGATAGTCATTATAACTTAAAGATAATTTTTTTTCAACAAAAGAAAAATAATAATAATAGCCCAAGAGAATTTAACTTCTAACTCATTAAAAATATTTCTTAAAGGCGACATAAGTTAAAAAGTAATAAAGAAAAACGTGTCAATCTTTTCCTGTTTCTAAGATTTATTAAAAGCAAGAGGATGCTTTTAACGGATTACTTTTTCTAAAACAATGTATTTTTAAAAAACAAGGACATAAATAATATAGTTTCAGAACTATTTAGAAAATTAAGGTGGGGAAATCGTGGTCTTTGACTGGGATTTCAAGTAAAATGCATCTAATGACCGCAATTTAAAGATTATGTCTCTCACATCCTCCGATCAAATCCTACCCTACTTATATTTTACTTGTTAATTTTTTTTAACCAAAATATGTCTAATTTTTTTACAAAAGTTTTTATGGGACAAAATATGTCTAGTTCTTTTAAATAAGTCTTTTTTGACGAAATATGTCTAATTCTTTCCAATTAAAAAATAAATTTTAAATTATTTTTATCAAATAACTTTACCAAAACTTATAAATTTAGAACAGCTCTAATGTCGATTTTGTCTAAATTCTATCGATTATTTTCATACCAAACACATGTGTTTTCTAATTCATTTGACACATGAGATTATTTTTTTCAACAAATTTTCAAATGAAAATCTGTCTAATGGTAAATTGTGTGACACATTTTAAAATTCAAGGTGAAAATTACAACATTGTCCAATTTTAAGGTGCAAATTGATACATATCACCAAATTCTAGTATAAAATTGATATTTTTCCATTATGTTTATTTGCATTTGTGCCTCCTAACATAGAATCCTAGATCCGCCACACATGCAATACATGTGATTTCCCATCCTTTTTCAAATTATTTACTTATTTTTTATTTTTTATTTAATATACTTTTTTAATAGTGTATTATTAAAAAAGTTCATAATAGTGGTAAAATTAATTTGTGTTAGTGTGTAATTCTATTTTTTATGATTATTTTATTTTTACTGTTCTATAAATTTTAAGTATTATTTTTTTCAATGGGCATGTTTCTATTTATATATATTGACATTTTTTTGTTATATAAATTAGACCAATATATTTTTATTTATAATTTTTCTTATTTTTTATAAAATATATATACATTTTTTGTTTCTAGGGTCGTGGATCTATAACTTTAGATATATATTCAAAATAGTCAAAACACTAATAAAATAAATAATATTTCAATTATAAAATAATAAAACACAACATAGATATAAATATATATAAAAAAAATTAAGAAATCGCATACATTATATGTATTACATATATGTGATATTTTTCTATGAATTAGACTGCCTTTTTTATAAAATATATATTTTTTGTTGTTGGTAGATATATATATATATGTATTCATATAAATTTATACTTTAAATTAAAATGGCTAAAATACTAGTAAATAATATTTTATTTGTAAAATATAAATATATCAATATTTTAAAAAAATCGAATACATTGTATGCAATTATGTAATTGCTTCTATAAATAATATATTTCCATAAATGGAAATTAGGTATATTGTATGCGACTTCCATAAATATTTCCCTTGCTGACTCATTTCTCGATATACACCTCATATATGATGTGTTAACACTTAAATTGTATCCATTGTACGCGATTTTTGACTTTAACCAATACATAACCTATTTTTGTCAATAATTTGAATGTCTAACTTAATTTTGTAATTTTTTATTTAACCTACTTATATTTTAAATGTACATTATTTTTGTAACTTGTTTTTAAAATTATATTTTTCTTAAAATTACTCCTTTTAATCCGAATCAGAAAAAGAGAATAAATAAATTAGATGAGGTATATTAATACTAAATCAAAACTACAAAAATGAACCCAACATCAATTTTAGGTTTTGTAAAAATGGCACGATTTTTAAAAATAAAAATTTTGTTTTATTTTGTTATTTTTATTTTGCCCTCGTTACTATATAACTAATATATTTAATTTTAAGAATATCATTAATATACTTGATTTTAGCTATATATTGAAAAGGATGTGAATCTCGAAGTGGGAGTAGTAGAACACGTTCTTGAATTTATTTTAAAATTTAAAACATAGAAAAATATAAAACAAGGAAGAATGTTGGATTTTATCTTTGAATACTCTCCTTCGTGTGATCTCAATGAGACAACACCATTTAATATTGTTTGTGATGTCTCTCGATTGTGAAATCCAATTACAAAGGATTGAGAGAGGAAGAGAGTTGAGAGATTTCAAGCATTTTGCTACCCTTCAAGGTTCAGCTTAATGTTATATTTATAGAGATAGAAAATCTAAGACCATTAGAATCCTTTTGTATATATCCTTTTGTATATATGATATATTCCCCTCATTTTAGGGACCATGATATATTTTCTTTTTAATTAATAATAAACATATTAATTAAATCAATTAACAATTAATTAATTTAATTTAATTAATAGTTAATAATTAATTATTAATCTAATTAATAATTAATCAATTTAAATCTAAATATAAATTAAATACATAATTAACAATTAATTATTTAACTTTTAATTAAATATCACATAGTTAATTAAAACTATATATTTGAATCATTCAGATGCATCTCTCTTATATAATCTATAGTTTTAATATGAATACAATTCATATTAATTACTTGAATCCTATTCAAATATTTCTATCATAATATATAGTTTAATTATTGAATCTTTATTAAAAATAAACTATATATATAATGTATCATAATATACATTATATATATTCCCTAATATATAATTTGAACATTTCAAATTCTCTCAAAATCTTGATCATCGTTTTACCCATTGTGAGCTAGCAAAGAGACCTAATGAACATACAGATTAGAAGCTTGAACAATACGAGATTAATCATTCAAACTCATTAATCGAGTTAATCAACATTCGTTAACTGCTGGTCACTCCACTAAAGACCCACATCTGCACTCTTCTCACTGCAGAATATTTTCGTGTGCACGAATGTACGACCATTAATGACAAGTCAATCCTTCACGAGTGCTCGTAACTTTAGCTTGGTCAAATTACCGTTTTACCCCTGAGTTACATCTTGCTCCTTAAATACCACTGCTCCTCCAATGAATAACCTGGTTATGGTCCGACAAATAATCGGAAGTCCCTTTCGGATCAGTGAGAAGGTAGGGCTCCTTGTTCAAGTCCCGGAGTTAGCACTAAAGGGAAGACTCATCTACTCCCCTAAAGTCGGGGAGGAGTGAATTCTATATTGTAAAGTTATGTTCCCAGCTCCCTACTCAATCTCGTCCCAAAAATGGTAGGAATATTGAGTCGGCGACTTAGGCTACTTTCACCCATACAAATCAAAGGACGACCCTTAACAGACAGGAGTCCGTAACTCATTTAGGATTGAGATCAAGTTACCTGGTCATCCTATTGAAATATTAATCTATTAGCTAACAATGTTACAGCTAAAGATTAATTATTTCACGGTCCGGTCTTATACAAACTCATAGTATAGGATACCCCCACTTACATGTCTCCACACGAATGACATAGATCAAGTCATTTGTATCTATTACAAATGGATCGTATCCATAGTGTTACCAGGATAAGGTACCCAACCTTATCCTGGTAATATAGACCTTTTAGGTTAATACTGGAACATTATCAACCTGTATATCGAGTATATACTGTATATCAAATATATATGTTGTATATTAAATATATATTGTATATCTGTTATATACTGTTTCAGTTACATTACATAACCTCGGATGTTAGTTTATTGGATTTGGGTTAATGCAATTCTAAGAGAAACATTAATAACAACTTTATTGAATAAATATTTGTTTTATGTCTACAAACCACGAGTTTAGGGCATAAAACCCAACATATATATCATTGATATACCAAATATAAAGTTTATTACCAATATAATTTATATACCAAATATGCAATATTAGTCACATCAAATATGTGAATGATATACTTCATATTAGGTATATTATTGATAAATCTTTTTTTAGTTGAAGAATGCTAGTTTAAGTAATTGCAGACATCTTATTAATATATCAAGTATATTAATGACTATACTTCATTTTATGCCAATGCCATCATCTCTTCAAGCCCAACGGGCCATTGAAGTCTCAGGTTAGCTCTCACGTCCCTTCAAAATTCTAGTTACTGTAGGCCCATTTGGTAACGTTCTTATTTCTTATTCTCGTTTCCAAATTTTATTAAGAAACTTAAAGCATTTTGCAACTAAATATGTTTCTTGTTTCTCATTGTTTGGAAACATTCTCAAAATTGTATAGAAATTTTGGAAACAATCAAAACAAGTTTCTTGTTTCTTGTTTTTGTTTCCAATTTGTTACGATACATAAATATAAATATTATTTGATCATCATTGAATTCATGGGTGTTGGACTATACAATTCTATTTATGTTTATTAAAAATGAAGAAAGAGAAAAAAGAAACGAAAACGTTACCAAACGAGCCAGCCTGTGCTATCTATTTCTTCCTATCTCTTCATTAGTGCTCAAAAACCCTTAATGACTACAACCGTTGTTTTTTTGATTTTTTGTAGCCTTTCCAAGCTTCCTCTGATTGATAATCCTAGTTGATTCTCTAGGGCTTCCACACGATTATTGTTGTACGGTTTAAAACCATTTGTGCAAGTGTACACAACCATTGTAGAAAGTGATAAAAAGATCGTATCCATAGGGATATTGATAACTAAACACTTCAACACTTACTTAAGAAAACAAACAAATTAACGAAAATATTTTGAACATGAAAAACTAAATGACATCAAACAAAATAGTGCACCACTAATTTGCTGCGTAAAAAAAAAACAAAACCAAACAAAACTAAATCGATTATCGGAGAATGCGCAAATAAGATATTGACTATTGGTTTTTATAAAGGGTAAGGGGAAGAGTTTATCACACTCTAAACTCAAGTAGATCTAGCACGAGTTGAAGCCAAACACTCCTTATTCCAATTTTCCAAAAGCTAATAAAGAGGTATTCCAATATGTTGGCCAAGCACATTGAAAATCAAACTTTAAAAACAACTTCAACTCAGTATATATATCATCATTAAAGCCAAAGTAAGGTTTACAGCTCAAAATTAGTTCACAACATCCTTCCCCTTACAATAACAACTTAGTTATGCAATGTCATATAAGAAAAGAGAATGAGAAAATACAAAACCCGTGCACTAAAGAGTACAAAAGAAGAGGAAAAGGAAGAAACACAGCAGCCCTTCACTGTATTAGCTCCCTTTGTTGTCTTCTTCGGGTTTCTCTCCAAGTATCCTCCCTCTTCTCTTGTCTTGTTCTCTTTAGGGATTCATGAAGAATTAATGGAAACACCCTTGAATGCAAGCTTTTATACCCGTACTCAATTTTAGGGCAACCAAAATGGATAAAATGAGGTCCAGCTCAATTTAAGGTGAGTCTGCGTTTTACTATAGTAAATTCTCGGGTTAAAGCTGTCACTGTTAGCTCTGACTTTGTTTGCTTTTGAATTCGATGTTGTAGCATCAATAATGCTGCATTAAAACATTCAAAATTAGATCATTTTTCATAACTCTCAGTATTATCATAAAAAATAAGGGGGATAGATTGGGTGTTAGTGAGACTATCATTAGCTATTTTATATGAAATTTACACACAACTAACTCTCTTTTGAAGAGTTATCAATTATCCATTCTCTAGTTCTACTTTTGAGCATACTCAAAAGGAACGTTACTCTGATACCATTGATACATCCCAGATGGCCTATCTTAAAAAATTTCAATAAAATAAACCAGTCAAACAACAAAGTTCCTTGCCTCTTTGAGAGGCTAGAAACTCTCCAATTCCCCCTTAGCCTCCTTTGCCTCTGTCATTTGTGTATATATACACTAAAATATCTCACCCCGATATTCACCCTTTAGATGTTCCAACAAAAGCTCTATAGCTTTCTAAGTATTATAACACACTATACTTAGGTATAGGACTGAAAAAACTCATAAGAATTAAGATCTAATCACCCTGAATATGTCGACCTCGATCAGCCCCAACGCCTCTGCCAATACCTCGAGCCTCTGCCTCGAAACTGCCACAAAACTACTTTGAAATCGGCTACAAATGGCTCTAATTACTGCTGGTTAACCCTAAAACAGGAAACTGCAGTATTTATAAAGTTGATACAGCGTCATGGCGCTACGAACGTAATAAAACGCCCGCACGCACCATCAGGACAATGTCGCGGCGCCATCCCTAGTGCTACTGCCTCCTCGGCCTCCCTGGCTTGCAGCGCTCTGCTTCACCTATTTTCATCCTTGCTTCGACTCGACTCATCCCTAGCCCGTTCCGACGTTGATTTGGCTCCACCAATCCCAACACCGTAGTTTGTGGGTCTCAACACGTAACTGATATATCGAACATACATAGAATATATATATTACTGCTATAACTGATATACTTGAGAAAAAGTTTTCTGATAAGACTAAATATATTAGTGATATACTTCATTTCAGGTATATTACTCATATATAGAATACCGATATACTTGATATTAGATATGTTTACGTGAGGGGTACAACCAGATTTTGCACTTTTCTTCGTTTGGACTGATTTTTTGTTTCCACAATATTTGCGAATCAGAAAATTAGTTGTTAAATATTTGCAATTAACTATTTAGCTTATATCTTTAAGCAGCTTACATTTTTTCTCTATATTTTTGCAGGTTTGTCAATGAATAATGATCCACATAATCAGGAACCAGCCATGATTAAGCAGAAACTTGTCTCATGCTATAAGAGCAATATCGCTGTCAAGTTGGAGTCAGAGCTACAAGAATTAACTGATCATGAGCATTGGTTTGGAGATGAATCAGATCAAGACAAAAACTTCGAGCGTTGGTCCACAACTTGGTGGCAAGAATTCTGCGTGCTGTTGAGGAGAGGAATTAAGGAAAGGAGGTACGAATCCTTCTCCGGACTCAAGGTTGGGCAGGTTCTAGTGATTGCATTCTTCTGTGGAATTTTATGGTGGCAATGTGATGATTTACAAGATCAGGTTCTTCCATTCATCTTATCCTTTAATTTTTCTCAGTTTTGCACCAATTTATAATCCGAGATCAGTCATTCAAGATTTCAAGATCCTTTAATTTTTCTCTCAAAAAGAGAGAAACTACAAGTGATGCTACTCAGCATATTTATCATCACATAGCATAATGAGTTTTAAAATATAGAATTTTGCCATAAGTAGGAAATTTAATTACTTACTTTATAGTCTAGTTATACTTTATTTAATGAATTTAGTTGATAGAAAGAGATACTTGAAAGTTTATTTTTTAAAAAGTGACATGGACTACGGATAATCACATTAGGATAATTTCACCTTTGGACGGAAGTGCAAGCAAACACAGTAATGATTCAAATCATTTTTTCAAAAAATGTAACCAAATATATTTTAAGTAACTAAATCAAAATAGCATTAGCTTAAGCTGATGGCTCTGATACTATATTAAGGATGAATAAATCATAACCGAACCCAAAAGATGGATTGAATTAATTTAATTCATATATCGGATATCTAATATATTTACAAACATGCAGACGGGACTTCTCTACTTTTTAACAAGCTTTTGGGGTTTCAACCCTCTATTGACAGCTATCAGCATATTCCCAAAAGAACGAAAGATACTTGAAAAGGAAAGATCCTCAGGAATGTACAGGCTCTCATCCTACTTCATCTCAAGAACAACCAACGACCTCCCAATGGAGCTCTTCCTTCCCACTATCTTCATCCTCATAGTCTACTGGATGGCAGGCCTCAAACCCTCTGCTGCAAACTTCTTCGCCACTCTTTTTACTCTCCTCCTTAGCGTTTTTGTGACGCAAGGCCTCGGCTTCGCCATCGGCGCCGTTGTTTTGGACCAAACTTCAGCCACCACACTTGGCTCAGTCCTGATGCTCTCTTTTCTTCTAGCATCTGGCTATTTTGTGCAGCATGTACCTCACTTCATTGCTTGGATTAAGTATCTCTCCATTGGCCAATTTACGTACAAGCTGCTGCTGCTGTCTCAGTTCGAAGCTGATGATACTTATCCATGTTCGAGGCTTGGAGGGGTTTGTAAAGTTGGAGACTTTCCTGCAATTAAGCAAATGGGTCTTCGTGGGAAAGCCACTACTGTTTTGGGTTTGGTGGTGATGCTTGTTGGATATCGCCTTGTTGCTTATATTGCTTTGATGAGGATTGGGGTCACCAAGAGATACTAGATTAGATCATCATATATGTTTCAATAAAAATCAAAATCATGCTATAGTAATACTCACAATAAGGAATTGAAAGGTAGAAAAAGGGAAATGATAAAGCTTGCCCGTTTGATTCTAACACCAAATTGACATATGTATGTGTGTATCTATATATATATATGTAAATTGAAGTATAAAAATAATACATCTCGCCCATGGTGATATCGATCAATGTTCAAGTGGACCACGTCGTGCAATGTTTTTACAGAAAATGTTGGATAAAAAACAATAAGATCTCTAAGAACATTGGAAGATAAAACCTTGCAAAAGCATTCCGAATGTTTTGTCAGGATGTAAGATAATTTCAATCTCAAATTTTGCGTACATTTCCCTTTCAATTTAAGAGTATTTATAGAGTAAGTAGATAACCGTTGGTGTAAAAATTCAAAATCTCGGTTCCCTCCGATATTTCAGGCATGGAGTATGTGTTAATGGGAAAATACAGTTGTGCGGTTATCCATTCAAACGTTGGAGTTGAGTTCGGATGTAAACAATCATGAGTTCGGCAACTTCATCGCATGAGTCTTCTGAACTGGGTTACTGCCGTACACATAGCTTTCAGTCAAACTATTGATGACGTGTTCTTTAGGTGAATTTTCGCCTTTTATCATGGAAGAAAATTCATGCAACCCAAGCATGGAGGTAAGCATTCTCCTTATTGAAACCAAGAGAAAAATGACAAAATTTTCGAGATTAATATATTAAGTGGCCAATATGAACGTAACTCAACGAATTAAGGTACCTACGTCCAATCAGAAGGTCATTAGTTGAAATTCTTACCCCACGTGATGTACTTAAAAAAAATTGAGTGTAATTACTTTGGTTGCTTTGTTTTGTAGCTCTATTGCTCTTTTAAACACAAAAAAATACGCGACAAAAAGAACCATTACAAGTTGTAATGTAATTACGCTCCTAAAATTAAGCAACAACTATATATATTAATGGTTCTAATGACTTATAAAAATTTCCTCTAATATGGATCCGTATCATATTGTCAGAGACAATAGACTTTCACCACATTTCTATAGTATGATATTGTCCATCTTACACATATATCTTTCATTGGTAAGCTGATACCAGTATTGTTGTCAATGATTTATGAGCTTATTACTAAACTATTGATTTGTATAATATCGTTAATATCATTCCTTATGTTGATGGAAGTGAGCAACGTATGCTAAGCTCATTTTTAAGATCTTTGAAAAATAATTTGGGTAGAGAGGTTGATTAGAATATCAATGGAACTTATTTGATTATGAGGTATCCAAGAGCTACTTTTTCTCTAACAAAGTGGTAGTCCATTTCTATATATTTGATTAGCAAAATTGAATACCAGATTCATTAACATGTGACTTTCTCGTATGAAAAGTGCGCCAAGTAAGTTTTACGGTTGTTGATGCCAATATCTCTCTACGCTTTTTTTTCTTTTAATTTTCTACTAATAAATGGAATTATAACAATAAAGTTTAAACAAAAACTTATAGAGGATAATTACTCCAACTGAAAATTTCGAGGGTGTGATTGTAACAATTCTTATCATTATAATATTGTATGGGCTAAGGCATCATAACCGATTGCTTATACTTTGAACCCCTTGTTCCAATATGACCTGATCAAAGTTAGAACTCGCCATCTACCTTCATGGTTCATCTTTTTGACAATAAAAAATTCATTATTTAACTCTTTGACTGCATAAAAGAAAAACTATTTTTATCCGAATTTCCATGACTTATCTTAGAAATGGAAAGGTCAAAACCTTTTATGTTGTTCTGTCAAGATATTGGGGCATCACACTAAATAAACTTTCTATCATGTCCTTTTTGATTCATGGTTCAAAATTATAGTGTCTTAGGCATAGATTAGGCATGACTACACAATTATTATTCGGAAGTCAATCTTAGTCCTTGTACTTTTAAAAGTGACTATTTTGGTCCGTTCATTTTCATTTTCATCTCATTTCTTTTTATCACAATTTTAGTATGAAACTTCATTTAATAAATTTATTGAAATATACCCATAAATGTGTGTTAAACTTTTACACATAGGGACCAAAATTGTAACCTTTTAATAGTATAGGTACCAAAATGGACGTTTTTAAAATATAGAGATTAAAATTAAAAAATTTGGAAGTACAGGAACCAAAATGAATATTTTGGAGGTACAGAGTCAAAAATGAACCAATGCCAAAAATATATAGATCTGTTATGGAGAACAAAAACGACCCGAAACGGGAATCGATAGTCGAGCTATAGGTTACGACTGGAGGGAAGCCC